TTTTTTTTAATTAAAACAATTTTTTTTACAGTGACAGGGTCTCACGATGTTGCCCAGGCTGGTCTCGAATGCCTGGTCAAGCAATCCCATCACCTTCGCCTCCCAAAGTGCTGGGGTTACAGGTGTGAGCCAACATGCCCTACCTAAAAATTATGTATAAGTAGAAACAGACAAAAATTACATATACTTAATTTTTATGTATTTGCTACTTTAAAATATGTAATCAGATTAAACATGCTATTTTGCAGTCACTTTTCCCCTTCAAAGTATGTATTATACATCTTTGTAAGAGATTACACATTTTCTGCAACTTAATTTCAACAGGTGAAAAAGATTCCACTGTTTGATAGCACCATAACCTATTTAATCCTCTACTGAAGTACATACACTTGGATCACTTCTGATTTCTTGCTCTTACAAATACTGTTGCAGGCCGGGCGCGGTGGCTCAAGCCTGTAATCCCAGCACTTTGGGAGGCCAAGACGGGCGGATCCCGAGGTCGGGAGATCGAGACCATCCTGGCTAACATGGTGAAACTCCGTCTCTACTAAAAAATACAAAAAACTAGCCGGGCGTGGTGGCGGGCGCCTGTAGTCCCTGCTACTTGGGAGGCTGAGGCAGGAGAATGGCATGAACCCGGGAGGCGGAGCTTGCAGTGAGCCGAGATCCGGCCACTGCACTCCAGCCTGGGCGACAGAGCGAGACTCTGTCTCAAAAAAAAAAAAAAAAAAAAATTAGCCAGGTGTGCTGGCATGTGCCTATAGTCCAAATTACTTGGGAGGCTGAGGTGAGAGAATCGCTTGAACCCAGGAGGCAGAGGCTGCAGTGAGCCAGGACTGTGCCACTGCGCTCCAACCTGGGCGGTATTTATTGATTACTATTTGTTTTTATTTATTTATTTATTTTTGAGATGGAGTCTTGCTCTGTCACCCAGGCTAGAGTGCAATGGCGCAATCTTGGCTTACTGCAACCTCTGTCTCCCGGGTTCAAGCGATTCTCATGCCTCAGCTCCCCGAGTAGCTGGGATTACAGGCATGCGCCACCATGCCTGGCAAATCTTTGTATTTTTAGTAGAGATGGGGTTTCACCATGTTGCCCAGGCTGGTCTCGAACTCCTAACCTCAGGAGATCCACCCGCCTTGCCCTTCCAAAGGGCTGGGATTATAGGCGTGAGCCACTGCACCTGACTTTATTGATTACTATTTATATTACTGTATAAGGTTAAGTGGGGAGAAGGGTGATATACAGTTGACTATATTGTCTGGTCAGAATTATGCCCCTCTCACCCCAAAAAGGGCAAAAATACACACTGAACTGACTTGGAGGAAACACCACACTACTTAAATGGCTGTCTGTGGGCGGTGAGACTTCCACAACTTTGCTATGATAAATGTGTATTATTTGCAGGACTAGCAAAAATAAATGAAAACTTTTTTTTTTTTCCATGACAGGGTCTCACCCTGTCACCCAAGCTGGAGTGTAGTGGTGCAATCATGGCTCACTGCAGCCTCAACCTCCCAGGCTCAAGCAATCCTCCCACCTCAGCATCCTAAGTAGCTGGGACTACAGCTGCATGCCACCACACCCAGCTCATTTTTGTATTTTTTTGTAGAGATGGAGTCTCTATGTTGCCCAGGCTGGTCTCAAACCCTGGGTTCAAGCAATCCTCCTGCCTTGGCCTCCCAAAATGCTAGGATTACAGGCGTGAGGCACCAGGCCCAGCCAATAAGATGCATCTTTACATGCCCTCCAACACTATCAGTCTTTCCTCACACACCCACCGCAAGAGAAGAATTCAGGGATACCAAGAGAAATTTTCTCCAGGGCTCCTGCCTCCTGGGGCGAAGTTTCATCTTGACTGAAAACTAGATTTAGAATGAAACAAACTTGGAGAGAACCCGGGATGCTCCATTTGAAACTCCCGGAATGGAATTTGAGGGGTGTCCCCTGCGAGCTGATGGCTGCCTTTGGACAATTCATCCCAAGAAGCTGCAGCATTGTGACAACTTCTGGCCACCCTGGGCACCTGTGCCTGGTCTTGAGCTGTATCCAGGAGCTCCTTTCAGACTCGCAATTTGAAACGAGGAGGCAGCACAATGCCAAGAGGCTGGGCCTGAATATGGGAGAACTTGGCTCCAGCCTCTGCTCTTCTGCTTCACTGTCCACTCACCCATTCATTCACGTGCTCACCAAGCTCCACCAGGAGCGAGACACCAGCCGGGATCAGAGAATACAACGAGGACCCTTGGGGAATCCACAGTTTAGTTGGGGAAGCAGAGAGTAAGCAAATAAACAAACATCTACTCCTGACATTGGAAAGTGTTGGGAAGACAGGAGCGCGGGGCTACTCGAGAGCGCGCAGTACGGGGCGCAACCTCGAGTGAACAGTCATGGAGGGAGGACTGGGGGCCTGGGAGGAAGGACAGTTTTATTCAGCATGCACTAACTGGACATCTATTATGTGCCAGACACTGTTCTAGGCACAGAGATGAAAGTGACCAAGTCCTGCCCGACATGCCCCATGCTATCCCCATGGTGGAGACAGGCACCTGGCAAACCCCCCGAATGCCTGGCAGCGAGAAGGGCCCAGGGCTGAGAAGGCAGGGTGAAGGAACACAGTGCCGGGGTGTGGGGTGGGGAGCTACTTCAGACACAAACTCAGGATCTGGGGGAGGTATTTCCAGGCAGAGAAAACTGCAAACAGACTGGGAGGCAGGAAACAGCAGGCTGGAGGGACCAGCGGGGACAGGACACAGCCTGGCCGGAAGGAGGGGGCTGGGGGTGGAAGCAGATAAGGCAGGAGACAGGCAGGGGGCAGGGCAGTTACAAAGCCTGTGACCCTCACCCTCAGTTTCCCCATCTGTGACATGGGGGTGATACCACAGAACCACTGCGTAGGTTTTCCTGAGGATTAAATGACAAATATAAAGCACTGTGCTGCAAGGCCCACTGGTGGCAAAAGTGAGATGATGGTGATTATTTCACCGGCCCATGAGCCAGTCCAGCCTTTTTCAGGCCGGTGCAAGGCTGAGGCTGAACTAAGATCCCCCACCACCGCCTGGGAGTGGTACGGAAAGCTGGCGTCTGAGCCCCAGTTAGTGCTAACTGGACAGCAGTTGCTATATCGGGGGACAGTCTAGCCAGCAAGAGGGGACAGGGAGCCCTCAGCCTCCTGAGGTAGGACCAACAGGTACTGCAAGTGGGGCGGAAAAGCAGGAAACCCAGGTAGAGCCTGGCTCTGCTAATGACCTGGCGGGAGGCTCCCCTGGGCCTCCAGGGTAAGAACGGGAAACTGGCCCCACCTTCGGGGCCCTGGCTCCCCCGCAAACACCACCAAGGGCCAGCACATCATCCCATCCCAAGAAACCTTTTGGGAACAGTGCTTGCCTCTCGGGCCCAGGGTGAGGATCCCAGAAGGTGGCCACTCCCCCACCAGAGGCCCTGCTGATACCTTCCTGAGGAGAGAGAGGAAAAACAGAAACCATCAACGTGCAATGACACACCGCAGGTCCCCAGGGCCCTCCCTCAGGCACACACCGGCCAGCTCTTCAGGTAGCTGCTACTTCCCCTTCTGCCCACATGATGGGGCCCAGTTGGGAGAGCGGGGCAGCCCCACCTTGCAGCCCAGAGAACTGAGCCTGTTTGCTCCCTGCACAGAGTTTATGGGGGGGTGTCCCTTGATAGCTGATGGCTGCCCTTGGAGCAATTCAACAGGGATTTTCACCATGCAGTCTCTTCTGATGAAAACACTCCCCCTTCTCCTCCCATTTTAAAATGTGTTAGAGACAAGGGCAGCGGAGATATGGGAAATCTCCCTTTCTCGGCTATAATTTCCATAAAGAAAGAGATCATTTCTGCTGTGTCCACAGTTGTATCCCTGGCACAGTATCTGGAGCAGGAAGCACTCAACAGGTTTATCGAATGAGCATGCTCATGAATAAACAGACAGAATTTGCTAAAGTGCCTTTACTCATCTATGTAAAAAATAAAACTGGGTTTTAAAAACTTGTTTGCCAGCAATTCTATTTGTAGAAATCCATCTCCAAAACCAGATCTATAATATATATGGATGCTTATAAAAGCAACAGCCAAAAAGAATGAAAAACTGGAAATCATCCAAAGTGTTGCTGGAGCTTCGTTGCTGAATGGTTAGATAAATTGTGGTTCACCCCAGCTACGAAATAACATGCAGCTCTTAAAAAGAATGAGGCTGTATTTGTATGGACTAACTTGGAAGTTTATCCCTAATACATGTCCCAAAGATGTTGCTGAGTGACCGATGAGTCTTATAAAATGTGTAACATGATTCCAGAAATGATCCAAGTGAAGGTACTCCAGTAGATTATCTTTAAAAGAATTAACACATATGCATATTGTGTGTACATGTCTGCATGCATGTGCATACACACACACACACACACACACACACCCCGGTCTGGAAGTTTGCACATCAAACTTAATGTTCATCTCCCTGGAAGTGGGATTTTGGTGGAGGCAGTGCACAGAAGGGACCTTACATTTTTCACTTTACACACTTTTTTTTTGTTGTTTGTTTTTTTTGGTTTTTTTGAGACGGACTCTAGTTCTGTGGCCCAGGCTGGAGTG